CCCGTGTCCCCTGCGTCGGCAGGGGGACTCTCAACCACTGCGCCACCAGGGAAGCCCGCAAGTTCCCTTTTTAAAGACTCAGTTTCAACATCTATAAACTGAGCATTAGAATAGGAGTGACTTCCCAGGAGTTAGTCGAGGTGATGCAAGTAAAGCACGCAGCCCGGGTAACGCGCTCAGTCTGTGGTAATGTTTGTCGTTGTCATCTTCATTTTACAAATGAGAAAACGGAGTCCTCCAAGTTGTGCCTGCTCGTTGTGGATAAAGCTGCAGAGCACATCTAGAATCCTGAGTGATTATTCTCAGTTGTAAATCAAACCATATCATTTCTTTATTCAAAGGTCCTCCAGTGGCTACAAATGGAACCTAAAATAGAAATATGAACTGGTGACTGTGACCTGCTAGGACCTACATAATACTTCCCTGCCTGCTCCTACACCATCTCCTGCCCTTGATCACTTCACTCTAGCCTAGCTGGTCTGTCTTTCGCTAACTCACGCCTGGCTTTCCCTGTGTTGTATTACTCTTCCCATTTCCTGGAATGCCTTCTTCAGAGAGGCCCTTCCTCACCGCCCCCCTCGCAGCCCCGCAGTCTCTCTTACATTATATTCTGGCTTTTGTCACAATGTGGGGTTGTCCAGTTTATTTATGTAAATCATGTATAGCCCATCCCCTTCTAGAATATCAACTCCATGAGAGCAGACAGCTTGTCTTTTTCATTTTGACTGTGTTTCCCATGGCTAGAAAGGTAATTAGCACATCGTAGTTACTTGATAAATACTTGTCGATCAAATGAATGAAATAATTCAAGAGTGAAGTTATCTAACCATTTTAAACTTAGTTTGTCACATGAAAAGCCTTCCTTGTGCGTTATTGTAAAGATTAAGTAAAATACTGCATGTAAAATACTTAGCATGGTGTTCTATATATAGCAAATGCTCCATAAATATCGCTGGTTTTGTTTTTGTTATTGTTGGGTTAACATTGTATACATTTATGTCAACACATGATCAAATGTTATTTACTTTCCTCTTCTGCATAGATATCAAAGTAGCATGTAAGGAAAGAAAATAAAGATTGTACTTTTGCTTACAAGGTGTCTGTGATAAATTTTATAGACCATTATCAGAATCACTTGGGAGCATTTGCAGACTCTTCTCTCCTCCCAGGAGGATGTGTCAGATTCTCTTGGTAGAGGGCAGAAAGGCAGTGTTTAAAAATTTTCCCTAGGTGATTATCAACATTCCAAATAGTACCTAACCTGAGGAAAAGAATATGCAAGACACTAATATAATTTACCTAAGTCCCAATCATTTCCAGATTTCAGGAGGCTTCCTAAAAACCAAGGGGCAGGGCTTCCCTGGTGGCGCAGTGGTTGAGAGTCCGCCTGCCGATGCACGGGACACAGATTCGTGCCCCGGTCCAGGAAGATCCCACTTGCCGCGGAGCGGCTGGGCCCGTGAGCCACGGCCGCTGAGCCTGCACGTCCGGAGCCTGTGCTCCGCAATGGGAGAGGCCACAACAGTGAGAGGCCCGCGTACCGAAAAACAACAACAAAAACAAACAAACGAACAAAAAACCAAGGGGCAAGATAGGGAGTTAGTTGGAGGGGCTGATTATGCATTGAGATAGAGGCTGCCCAGTTTTTCTGGAGACTGGAAAGCTGAGGCCCAGGCACAGGAGTATGCTGACTTAATGCTGAATTAACAGTTAGTGATCTAGATTCCCTTTGCTTGGATAACAGGTGTAGTGGCATGCGATGGCTGCAGAGGAATCAAATCCTTAAAAACATCTGGCTTTGCTTTTTGTGGCAAGTGTCAAGCTGCCTCAAAGGAAAGCACAAAAACTAACTTTATAATCAGCCGAAAAACAACAACAAAAACAAACAAACGAACAAAAAACCAAGGGGCAAGATAGGGAGTTAGTTGGAGGGGCTGATTATGCATTGAGATAGAGGCTGCCCAGTTTTTCTGGAGACTGGAAAGCTGAGGCCCAGGCACAGGAGTATGCTGACTTAATGCTGAATTAACAGTTAGTGATCTAGATTCCCTTTGCTTGGATAACAGGTGTGATCCCCCCATGGAATCCGAGAGACGAACCAGTGGTCACAGATAGAAGGGAAGGGAGCTAGATGGGTCTTTATCCAAGTTAGCTTCTGGTCCGTTTTCATATTAGGGATGGGAATAGCTACAGATTGATTTTTTTTTTTCTAGGATATCGGGTATACGTATGGCCTGGAGACAGGAAATGGGGGGAACCTCCTTCCTTTGGAGAGTAGCAGCTGTTATAAAGGAAATTAAACAGTTTGTGATGGCCCTGGGCCTGGAAGATCACTTTAGGAAGGGATCTGCTCCATCTGTCAATCACTCTGTCTGTGTCCCACCTCTATCACCCACCCTTCTATGTTAAGCATTTCTCTCTTGGGCTGTTGGTTCCTAGAGATATGCACAGGCCCTGCCCTTGGACAACACAGGAGAAAGTCCTTCAGTGACCATCATACACTTCCAAAGACTGCATTTAAAAATCGAATGCAAAGACATAATTGCTATCAGAATATACTTAAATTATGTTTGTTTGTTTGTTTGTTTGTTTTAATTTATTTATTTACTTTTGGCTGTGTTGGGTCTTCGTTTCTGTGCAAGGGCTTTCTCTAGTTGCCACAAGTGGGGGCCACTCTTCATTGCGGTGCGTGGGCCTCTCACTATCGCGGCCTCTCTTCTTGCAGAGCACAGGCTCCAGACGCACAGGCTCAGTAGTTGTGGCTCACGGGCCTAGTTGCCCCGCGGCATGTGGGATCTTCCCAGACCAGGGCTCGAACCTGTGTCCCCTGCATTGGCAGGCAGATTGTCAACCACTGCGCCACCAGGGAAGCCCTTAAATTATGTTTTAAAGATAAAATATTTCGTACTGTATGTTTAATCTATGTAAATATATATATCCAGTTAAATTTTTGCATTTTATATTTTTAGCTTGTCATTTTAATTGGAAGAAGTAATTATGCTCTAACAGGAATGTTCTTTTCTTTCGTTTTTTTTTTTTAATTTTAATGTTTTAGTGCTGCCACCTGTCCCTATTCAGAAATCAATTTGAATAAAGACCGAATTTTCCCAGACCGCTTAAGTGGTGAGATGCCTGCAGCTAGTCCATCATTTCCAAGAAGTAAAAGGGCAGACGCAAATGAAATCTCTTCATCTCCTGAAACCAGGTAATTAAAGTGGTAATATTAGTGTTATTTAGAGGTACTGTAGTTGGAAGATTGTTTTTCCTTAGGTGATTTATGTTCTGTAGTGATGTCTTCTAGTACATTATTGAAAATGCACCTGACTTAACGTGAGGCTGATGGTACTTATAAAAGTATGTCCAAATCAGGCAGGGTATCGTATTACTTGTTCATCTTTTAGTTGAACTTGCTTGATGTTAGAAGTTTGGAAATCCCCTTTTTATTTCATGCCAATTCATACTCTGAATGAACAGATCAATATTTGTATAAAAGCATCCTTTACAAAGAAGATGGTAGATTCCCTGTGAAGAATGGACGTTATTTCTTTTTAGTGCTCATTATATGCCAAGTACTTGCATCTACATTAGTTCATTTAATTATTAGGATATTTGTTGTACTGTATGCCCAGTCATTTGGTTTTGATATCACTTGTAGAGTTGAGTTGGAATGTTTTAACCTCCGTGGATTATTAGGTAAAGAACCAAGTTTTGTTTGATGTTTTAAGTAAATGGTCTCTGCCTTTATATTAACTAAAGATATTACTAAGAGAAAAAATTAATAGAAAGGTGATCCTTAGGTTTTGGGCCTTTCTTTTACGGAGAGTTTTTAAAATCTAAGACAATGTACTTCTTTGATTACTTTAATATTTTGTAACTTTTGTTCTCATGGATGAACCAAGTGAACATTTGAATTAATAAATCTGATTCTTGGACTTCCCTGGTGGCCCAGTGGTTAAGAATCCACCTGCCAATGCAGGGGACACGGGTTCGATCCCTGGTCCGGGACGCTCCCACATGCCACAGAGCAGCTAAGCCCGTGCGCCACAACTACTGAGCCTGTGCTCTAGAGCCCTCGAGCCACAACTACTGAGCCCGTGTGCTGCAACTACTGAAGCCCGCACACCCTAGAGCCCATGCTCCACAAGAGAAGCCACCGCAATGAGAAGCACACGCACCACAACAAAGAGTAGCCCCTGCTCACCGCAACTAGAGAAAAAAGCCTGCGCGCAGCAATGAAGACCCAATGCAGCCAAAAATTAATTAATTAATTGATTAAAAAAATTTTTTTTTTAAATCTTATTCTCAGCTCACAGCAGTGTTATTGGAGTAGTGGCACTTAAAGTATCAAAATCCTTAGAGAAAAGCAGTTTCGCCCTATGGATCGCGGAGAGCTGTAACTTCTTTAATTATCAACAATGATTTTTTTTTTTTTGGCTGTGTTGGTTCTTCATTGCTGCGCATGGGCTTTCTCTAGTCGTGGCGAGCGGGGGCTACTCTTCATTACGGCGCGTGGGCTTCTCATTGCGGTGGCTTCTCTTGTTATGGAGCACGGGCTCTAGGCGCGTGGGCTTCAGTGGTTGTGGCTCAAGGGCTCTAGAGCGCAGGCTCAGTAGTTGCGGCACACGGGCTTAGTTGCTCCACGGCATGTGGGATCTTCCCAGACCAGGGATGGAACCCGTGTCCCCTGCATTGGCAGGCGGATTCTTAACCACTGCACCCCCAGGGAAGTCCCTGATGATTTGTTTTTAATCCTTAAAACCATGACTAATGTAACATAAATTCATTTACCCAACTCAGTGCCCTGTAATGAGGGCATATCACTTGAGGAAATTTACTTTAAGACAAATAAAGTACTAATTCACATAGTAATAATTACAGAAACAGAGTTCATTGACTCACAAGGAGGTAAGGATCCCTGAAGTTTAGATTTCAAAAGCTGAGATATTGTTTACAATTTTAACAGGATACTCTGAAGGGCTGGCAGTTTCATCTCACAGGCTTTTCACTAACTTTCTGGGCTCTGGGCTGGATACCTGGGTCCAGTTTCCTCACAGCAGAAAGACCTAGTTGGTTTAGATGATTTTTGCAGTCCTTTTTAACTCGAAATATTTGTAAGAAAAGAGTAATTTTTTTCCTTTCAGTTTTATTGAGATATAATTGACATATAGCACTGTGTAAGTTTAAGGTGTACAACATAATCACTTGACTTACGTATATTGTGAAATGATTACCACAGTAAATGAACATCCATCACCTCACGTACATCCAGAAAAAAAGAAAAAAATGTTTTTTTCCTTGTGATGAGAACTTTTAGAATCTACTTTCTTAGCAGCTTTCAAGTATACCATCCAGTAGTGTTAACTGTAGTCATCATGCTGTACATCTTTAGGACTTATTTATTTTATAACCGGAAGTTTGTACCTTTTAACTGCCTTCCTCCAATTCCCCCTCCCCCATCCCCTGCCTCTGGTAACCACAAGTCTGATCTCTAGAAAAGCGTGACGTTTATAGTGCCTCTAATGATTCCAGGGATCTGTCTTCTGTGAGGATGTGAGCATGGCTCTTCACGTCATCACCCGTCATTAAGGAGACAGTCTTAGAGATTTTAAGGTTTCTATCGTAACCCATGGCACATGTTTGATATCTAAATAATTTTTACATTACATAGATTTTTAGCCCATACTGTCTTTTGATTCAGTGAATTCTAACCTGCCATTACTTCTCTGTGAATTAATATTTACACTTATTTGTGTTAAAGTTAAATTGCTTCAGGGGTACCAGGATTTGGTAAATGAGCGTTATGTTATTCATGGTTTTGAAGACTTTGTTCAGATTTCTTCTCGTCTTCAACTTTCCAGGTTAACTATTTTTATTTTATTTATTTATTCTGACTCATTTATTTATTTATTTGGAGGCTAGTAGTAACCGGAGAGATTTGATTAGTTATACGTTGTCGAAGGAAACATGAGGGAGACAATCCCTTAGTGATCCCAGACTTTTTAAGGTGAACATTTTTGACCGAGATTTTTTTTCGCTTTACTTTTTATGCTAAGTATTTTTAAGAAATGATTACAGACATCATGATATTTCAATCTAAGCACTTCATTATGCATAAAAACAACATTTCCAAAATAGCCAAAATAACATCGATTTATTTACTTTTCTAAATATAGATTTTATTCTTTTACATTTTTAAAAATTGGCTTCAGATTGTTTTATTTTTTTTCTTCTCCAGGCAGTCACTAGTTCTCAACAACAATCAAAATGATACATGGTATTTTAGATATAAATGATCATGGGGTAGCAACACAGCAGATATTAACAAATGAAAGGTTGTTAACAAAGAAGCCTCATCTTACAGCTTGAGGATGGTTGATTTAATATAGAATTAATAGAGTTGAAGTTATCTGGCTTCTTTGCTTTAAGTAAATCTGTATGAACATATTTAATTACTTTTTTCCTTTTTAAAATTAAAAAAAAATTTTATTAAAGTATAGTTGATTTACAATGTTGTGTTAGTTTCAGGTGTACAGCAAAGTGAATTAGTTATACATAGATCCACTCTTTTTTAGATTCTTTTCCCATATAGGCCATTTCAGAGTATTGAGTAGAGTTCCCTGTGCTGTACAGTAGGTCGTTATTAGTTATCTATTTTATATATAGTAGTGTGTATAGCAAACATAAAATTTTTTGATCACTGATGCTTTCACCTGGACTTAAGAATGAAATCGTGAGCTGTGCAAAAGCTCTGAGAACAGTGACTGATAAGCAATAAGCCCTCAATAAATGTTAGTGCTGTTGCAAGAGGAATAGGTTGCTTATTTGTTTCATAATATTTATTTCAGAGGAGCAAAGTAAGGCTGGCCCATTTTTTTTTTTTTTAATATTCCTAGGTTAAACTTTGAGTAGAGAGTACTCAAACAAGATGATTCTCATAATGTCAGATTACGGTCTCTCCTCTTTTTCCATAATCATTGCTCACGTAGATGGAATTTCCCAGTCGGGTTTTAACACATTTTCTTTGCATCCTTCTTAATAATTTGCTAAAAATTGGCTGCCAGACTCTACTTTTTTTTAAAAAAAAAAAAAAGGCTTTTGGCACAGCAAGAGACAGTTGCACCCCCAGAAGCAGACCTTGAGACAGAGATTTGATGGCAAGTGGTTTACTTGAGAGGTGAGGAAAACGCCAGTAGGGGAGTGGAGAGGTGAGACCGGGAAGGAAAGGCAGCCAGTAAAAGCTTCATTGTCACACCAGCTACCACTGTGGACAGAGGGAACACAGCCCTGCTGGGGGCACCAGTAAAAGCTTCATTGTCACGTCAGCTACCACTGTGGACAGAGGGAACACAGCCCTGCTGGGGGTACTGTGGGAGGCTGTGTAAAACACACATCTCAGGTTTTCCCACCATAGGGATGAGGGAGCTGAGCTATTTTAAAACACGAGTTCCTCTTTGGTCATGGAGCTAGGCTGCCAGGGGAGGAAGGATGAGTTAATTTCCCCAGCACGTCCCCTGCTGCACAGCAGGCAGAGCAGTCAGAGCCCCAGTAAACCCTGTGGGAAGGCAGAGCAGGTGAGAGGTAGGTAGGAGTCGGCCGCTGTGCACTGAAGGGGTAGCGTGTGGCTAGGAGATATGGGCCAAGCCCTGACAATGTCTGCTGCACCAGCCCATTCACCCATTTCAAATGCCAGCTGGTCCCCAGAACGAAGTATGCTGGCGTTGCTTGTGATCCAGGAGCAGACATAATAGGGCCAGATAAATGAACAATGCAAGGAATATGTATGTCCTTTTCATACCATAAATGGTATTTTAAGAGCCAGTTCACAGGCCACCTGCTTGGGATAGACCCATGGACAACCAGTGTTCCACAGCAATGCTTCCCAAACCTGACTCCACGTATGATTCCCTGAGATCTCTAAAATTCAGATTACGGGGCCCAGCCCAGCCCGCCAGAATCTTTCAGGCTAGAGCCTAGGAGTCTGCATTTTAAAAATTCACTTGGGAGTATATCTTCCTGCTTAAAATTTTCCACGACTTCCCATTACCCTTGGAATTAAGACCCTAATTCTGAACATGGCCTACAATACCAGTGCTATCTGGCCCCTGCCGAACTCTCCAGCTTTTTCTCTACTAGGCTGTTGTGTGTGTGTGTGTGTGTGTGTGGTATGCGGGCCTCTCACTGCTGTGGCCTCTCCCGTTGCGGAGC